GAAACAAAAAGAAAAACTCAAACAATTAAAACGTGGACAAATAAAAAACATGTTTCTCTGTCAAGTAATAAAAACTAAATGAAAATCACGGTACAAGGAATAACAATGATCGCTAGACGAGAAGAAAAGTCCTTGACGGGGGAAGGAGAAAACAAAACATACAAAATAATAATAATAATAATAATAATAATAATAATAATAATAATAATAATGATGATGATAATAATAATAATAGTTAAATACCAGAAATCATACGGAAAAGAAAAAAACAGAAGAAAAACGCTACGCGTGCCACGTAAATAATACAAAATGACGAAGTGGTGTCCCCATTTATAATAGTAATAATAATAGTCATGAAAAATCGATAAAACGCATGAACCCAAAAGTCAAACTTCAGAGACGAAAAAAAAAACACTGTGTGTGTGTGTGTGTGTGTACGCGCGCGCGCGTGTGTATGAATATGTTCCTTATACAACACAACCAACACAGAACACATAAATAAGAATAGTAATGCCTCGACGAAAGAGAATAAAAATTAGAACGTTTACCTTAAAGACGACCTACTAAGAAACAAGTAAAGCGATGGAAATAAAAACAAAAAAAAAAACAAAAAAAAATGCCATTTTAAAAAGAAGAAAAAAGCAACAAGGAAACGCACTTGTTTCACGTGGGTAAATATTAGTTAAAACACAGTTCCACTTTGTGAATCTGCCCCCCCTTCTCTCTCTCTCTCTCTCTCTCATACATCTCCGCCATATTTAAATCTTTATACAAATACACGACGAATAATATTAATAATAATAACATTTGAACGAAAAAAATATATGTATATATGTATGTACGCTTCTCCTCTATCTTTGTCTCTTTTGTTTTTCTTTCTTTTTCTTAAAGCTGATTTTTGCAATGCATAAAAGTCATGTTCGATAAAATGTCTCCCTCCCTCTTTCAGCAGATCGATTCGACTGCTAATTCTCATTAACAATTAAATACCGTAGGGATTAATTTATTTTCAGTTTTTGTTTTTCTTATTACACTTCTTAATTGTAGTGACCTTGGTGAAAAGAAAAAAAAAAAATAAAGGAATCGGTAATCGCGGAAAGACAAACTTTTTCTTTCTTTTCTTTATTTTCCAGGACTCTAGGAAGACTATGATTAACCGTAGGCTAAAATTTAGTAAATGTTGCGTCTTTTTTCACTTTTTTAAATCCTATCGTTAAAGTGTATATATACGTATATCATATAGTACGTGTGGGTGTA